CCTATCCTGCTAATCAGCACCTTGTTGCTCCCAATGGAGCCTGGTTTGCCTGTACTTCTGTTATAAGTCCTTAACGACTTGTTCCATGCATCACCTGTTCACCCATCGCCCTGAACTTTGCATATTAGTCCTTATCTTTCCCCAAGTGTATTGGTACTCTAGAGATAACGGTAGGAGTCACTTTGACTTAAAAAGTCCAATCCGAGCAAAGAGAAATCCTGTACTCTTACCTGTATTACTGAAAATTGAGATAACAAGGTCAATAGGTTTAAGAGTGTCCAGCCTAATAGTTAGAGACCAAAATTATAGACACTTAAGTACACTAATTGACCAAGATTTAGCAGCTCTTAGTGACTGTCTCCAAATTAGATGATTCTTTAAGTTCACTGGCTGAGATGGTTTTACAAGACCGGTGGGGTCTAGATCTCCTGTTCCTAAAGAAAAGAGGCCTCTGTCTGACATTAAAAAAAAATTGTTGCTTGTATGCCATTTATCCTGGGGTTATCTGACAAAGTATGGCCAGCTTTAAACAAAAATAAAAACAAGCCAGACAAGCTATATAAAATTGATATAAATGATGGTTTTCTCTATCTCCCTGGTTGACAACATTAATCACAGCAGCCTCTAGACCTCTGTTAATCTTACTTACTTGTTTAACAATTGAACTTTGCACCATAAACAAATTGGTAAATTATGTCAAAGATTGGGTTCAAACAATAAAACTCGTGGTTTTAAGGACACAAGTTTATAAAAAAAATACCACTGCTTGAAAATTCCATGAGCCAATGATTTGGATCATTGACAAAAATCAGTGGGGAATGTTATACTAAGATGCTGAAAAATTAAAATAATTGATTAAAAGATAATTAGCAAAAATAGTTAGTTAAAAAGATAGTTATTAGCAGTATTGTCATTCTGCGCTGAGCTCATTACCCTAGTAACCATAGTTATATGGTTTTTCACCAACCACATAATTATAGATTAACTGATGGCGTCGTCATGCTGTTCTGTATGCATCGTCCCTCGAGTAACCTGTTCGCTGTGTCAATCTTTGTTCCCTTTGTAAGAGACAAATGATGCTGTGTCAACCATTGTTCTCTTTATGAGAGACAAATATTCCTGGAATTGGCAGACCAAGGGCTATAAATTGGCTAACCACCCACTGTGAAATGCCTCTTACCTCAAGCAAAAAGTAACAAAGGCCCACCTTGTTTTTGTTTCTCATCACTATGTACTTAATGTTCAATGAGCTAATCATAAATAAACTATAAAAATCAGTCAAAATTCTAACTCGGTTGCACAGCTTTGCAAATTCCATCTGCACTGTGTCACTGGGCCAGCTAAAATAAAAGCGCTTCTTTTAAAAAAGATGTCTTGCCCCGTTTATCATCTCAGGGATCTTGCCCCACTTTTTATCATGGGGCCTTCTTTTTGGGTGGGTTACAACAGTGCACCCCCACACCCAGCTTCTTGCAGTTTTATATGCTGTTCATTTATGACTGATATTATGCTGCATGCAATGTGATCAAAACATACAGTGAAATATTAGATTTTTTTATTGAACCGAGTGTGGTGGTGCATGCCTGTAATCCCAGCACTTCTGAGGCTATTGCAGGAGGATTGCTGTGAGTCTGAGGCCAGTCTGGGCTATACAGTGAGTTCAAGGCCAGCACAACTTGTATAGTGAACCCTGTCACAACAAAACAAAACAAAAATATGTGTGTGTGTGTGTATAAGATTTTTTTTTGGTCTTTTTCGTTTTTATCGGTACCAGGGATCGAACTCACGACTGCCTGCTTGCAAGGCAGGTGCTTATGCCGCTGAGCTAAATCCCCAGCCCCAAGATTTTTTTTAATGATTACGGTAAAAGACACACTGCCACCATCCTGTCTCACAATTCCATCCCCCCTTCACTTGCACACACATATCCCTTGGTGCTTGATACTTTCTGAAGCGGCTCTGGAGGTGCTCTCTCAGAAGTATCTTTACTAGGGGTGATAAGTACCGTGGACGCTGCTGCCAATGTCACCCACGGCAAAGGCAGGCTGAGTTCTCCTCTCTTTTATTCACCAGATCTGACACTGTGCAACTTCTGGCTTTTCACCAAAATCAAAATGACCATGAAAAAGAAAGGTTTTGAATTCATTCAGGACATCGAGGCAGCCAGGACACCCATGCCACCACACCAGGGTTGGTTGTCTTTTCTTCCTTGTGAACCACTTCTGACCTCAAAACTCTAAGGGAAGTAGAGAAAGTGCTGGTTTCCTGGATGCACTTCATTCCAGTTGTTTAACTATCAAACAACCAATCAACTTGTGCATTGTTTTAACATCAGCTTTCTATTGATGCCCTAACAAATTACACAGTGTTAGAGGCATAAAACACAAATCCGCCCCCCTTAAGAGTTCCAGGGCCTATACGTCTTCACTGAGTCTCACTGAGGCCAAAATCAAGCATTGGGCCACAGGGTGATCTGAAGACTCCAGGCGTGAACTGGATCCTTGGCCCCTTCCAGTGGCCCTTGCTGCCTGCAGTCCCGGGAAGGGAGTCTCATCGTGCCAACTTCCTTCCCTTGGACAGCCCAGATGGCCTCCAGGGCCCCTATGGATAACCCAGGGCCATTGCCCCATCTCAACTGCACCCCCAATCCCTTTTGCTATGAAATGACTCAAGCTCACGGGTTCTGAGGTTGGGACCTGGCCCCAGAGTCTGCACTGAGCAGGGACAACATGGTGGAAAGTGGGGGGTGGGTCCCCCTGCCTGAGACATCTGAGATGGCAGAAAAGAGGCAGCTTAGGGGAAAAAAAAAACAGGCAACTGGGCCACTGCAAGGCCAGCACTCCAAGAGCCTGAGGTGAGAGGACTATAAATTCATGTCCTACTTGGGCAACTTGAAGAAAAAAGCTGGGGATGTAGCTCACTGAAAAGACCCAAGTTCGATCCTGAGTGCAACAAGGAAAACAGAAACAAAACCAAATAGAACAAACAGGCATCCTGTTGGTTATAAGAGAGGAATTTGAAGTCTCTAAACATAAAGTAATGCTACAGAGCTGGCAGTCACCTGATTTGATCCCTATGTCCAGTCCCCACAGGCTGCCTGAAAGCTGTACAGTTATTGTGTGTTAGTGAAAGGATGGAAAAAACTGAGGAGATGCCGCTGGGCACATTGGCATTCACCTGCAATCCCAGCGCTCTGAAGGCTGAGGTAGCAAGATCACTGTAAGTTCAAGGCCAGCCTGGGCTGCACAGCAAGAGGCTGTCTCAGAAAGAAAGAAAAAGAAAGAAGGAAGGAAGGAAGGAAGGAAAGAAAGAAAGAAAGAAAGAAAGAAAGAAAGAAAGAAAGAAAGAAAGAAAGAAGAAATAAAAAAGGAAGAAAGAAAGAAAGAAAGAAAAAACAGACGTTCCCACTGTCTCAGACTGGTTCGCTTTGTAACTGAGAGAAGACCTAAGTAAACCCCTGCAGCTTCCCTTGGTTTCGGTGTCTTCACGCATCACTGGTCCAGAGGTCACTCGGTTATGCAGGGCCTTCCTGGTTTTGCCAGCTCCTTGCAGATCCCGGATGCTGCTTGGGTGATAACTGTCCTGAGTGAAAGTGATAGTCCAGCTGTCACAAAGGCAGCCTCTTGTATCTTAATGATTAAATGCGGGCTTCCTGGTTTCTGGGGAAAGGGACCCAGCAGACCTGAGTCATGAGACTTTCTAACGTGTGACTGTATTTATTGAACCCCAATTTCCTGTGACCTTGAGATAACAGCAACACGTGAATTTGAAAACCCAAGTCTGTCACCCCGCTGGACCATCTGTCTCAGGTGTCCTTGGAATCCCTGTCTGAGGGCCAGAAACTCCTCCTCTTTGCTGCTTTATGAGCACCCAAGGGGGTCTCTTCTTCCAGATCACCAAATGCTCCAAGAGGCAAAAACCAACGCGTGTGCCATGATTCCTCCTGCAAGGCACACACATTGGTTCAGTTGTTGATTTTCTTTTTTTCTTTTTTGGTACCAGGGATTGAACTCACAACCCCATACTTGCCAGGCAAGTGCTTATGCCATTGAGCTAAATCCCCAGTTATTGAGTTTCTTTGGTCCCTTTTAATTTAAGCAATTTTCTGGAGGGTTGTTTGTTTTGGTTCTTGGTATTTTGGGGGGATTTTTTAGAGAAGATCTTACTACATACACCAGGATGGTCTCCAACTCTCAGTGATCCTCTTGCTTCAGCCTCCTGCTTCATAGAGGGGTGACAGCTGGGTGCCACCATGCCCCGCTCTGGTCTTCATTCTAAAACAGCTATCCATCTGCTTCATTTTCCAGTCAGAGCTATGAAATTTTATGATTAACATACAATCACACACCAAGGCCATACAAAATGCACACTTTAAAAATACACAGTTCAGGGGCTGGGGATTTAACTCAGTGGCATAAGTGCCTGCTTTGCAAGCACATGGTTGTGAGTTCGATCCCTGGTACTGATAAAAAAAAAAAAGAACAAAAAAATACACAGTTCAGGGCCAGTAGCCTATGCCTGTAATCCCAGGATTCAGGAAGCCAAAGAGGAGAATCCTCATGAATTTGAGGCCATCCTGGGCTATGTAGTGAGTTCAAGGCCAGCCTAAAATGCATGACAAGACCCTTTCTCAAAAAAGGAAAAGAACACAGTTCAACTTTTGAACTCAACAATTGAATGAGTGTGTTTTCACTGCTTTATTTGAACTTCGTGGGAAGTGGTGTCAACTATACACAATAAACAGTACATACTAAAAGCATGTAATTTGGTAAGGTTGGTAAGGTGTTTTTTTTTTGTTTTGTTTTGTTTTGTTTTTGTCTTTGGCTTTTGTATTCTGGTACTGCAGGTAGAACTCAGGAACTTTGTACTTTCAGGAGCCTACTCTGGTTTTTTGTGTCGTGAGTGTCTAGAGCACTCTGAACTCCGGGCAAGGTAAACACGCACGCCTTGTCGGGACACGGGGGGTACAGCGCTTGGAAAAGAAAGACAGGAGAGACACCTTTGCTGTCTGCACCGCGTTACACTGCACTGCACTGCACTGTACGCACAATCTTTATTTTAGGATTCATATATAGTAAACCCGATCAATTCACAGAGCCCAGATAATTAAGTAGTGAAAAGGCATTCTTTGTGGCAAGCTACAACGTGACAGACTACAATGTTTATTCTAAAACTATCTAAGTGAAGTAAATAATCACAACCAGTTCTCATAACCTCTCTAGCCCAGGAAGAAATTCATTAGCTCAAGAATGTTGTTAATTTGTCTGCTGTTAGTGTCACAAAGGGTGGCCAGCCACTTCCTCAAGACTTCTGCAAAACAAAGCCAGCTCACAGTATGGATTCCAGAGGGTGAGGGCTCACTAAGAACAGGCATTCCTATTCTACCTCCTTCTCGCATACCAGGGCGGCTATTGTAAATTGCAGGTTAGAGGGGGTTGGGCCTACAAAGTGACACCTCATCCCCCACACTTCCTTCCTTTTTATTTTTTAACAACAATTTCCATAAGATCAGGTTATTAATAGTATTTCGTCTTATGCAGTAAAAATACACAAGAACTATGGCAATGAGAACTATAATTAAACTAAGTCCCATGCCACTAAAAGTGTGGGTAATGCTCTGCCAGATTCCTTTGGAATCTAATCCTTTCAAAGATTGAGCAAGCAATTGCGCGAATTGTGCTAGAGATTCATCATCATTTTGCTTTGCAAAATCCTTGTCAATTTGATTATGCAAAGATTCTATTTCCTCCTGGGCAGAGGTGTTTCCATTTAAATACATTCTAATCATTTCCCATTTATGTTTTGTCTGATTATAAGGTCGTTGGGTTATACAGAAAGTAGTTGAATTCCAATCACATTTTAAAAACACTTGATGCTGAAAAGCCAATATTTTTCTACCCATCCATTCAACTGTTTGTTTAAGGAGGTCTATTTGTTGTTGTAGTTTGGCGTTTATTTGCCACTGAGTTAACCAAAGTTCATGAGAATTCTCATGCCATAATTCGACAACATGTTTTTCTTGCAAAGAGGTATGTAAAGCTACTCCTGAGACTGCTGCTAGAGAGGCTACAGTTATCAGACTTAACAGTACAGCAACCACTATTCCAATAAATCTTTTTGTACGTTTTAACAGATGTTTAAAAAATTCAGTAGTAACAGAAATTACCGGGTCTTGAGACCAAGGTCGAGTTAAATTTACAGGCAACCAAATATGAGTTTTTTGTTGTAACAGCATAACTGTATAAGGCTTAGTGAAATTTAGTGTGCTATTTAAGCATGTAAACAATTGACAATTTAAACAAGTACAAGAAAAATGTGTAAAATTAAAAGTTCCCACTAAAAAGACATAAGGTAGAGGTGCACAAACAGTAATATTATACATTTTAAACCTAGTAAAATTATAAGTAGTAGATACAGATCGACTAGTCCCTGAATATGAAACATTGTACAAGGTTACAGGTTGCATAGCGGCTGGGATCTTCCAAATATGATTTTGAAGGTGATGAGGGTATTCTTCGGCTGCAACAGCAGGGTTAGCGATTCCACCATCTCCCCACCACAAGAGAGCCGTCTTTTGTTGAAATATAGGAGCTCCGTCAGTTATTTTCTTTGGATCTGGAAGACTATACACAACAGAGAGATTACATCTTGTCTCATTCCATTCAGCACATCCATTAACGAATTTTCCAAATGGTCCCCAAATAATATACCCATCAATATTTTTAGCAAATTTTCCCATACATAGTTGCCAAATTATGGGATTATAAGAAATATTTTTATAAGTGAATTCAGGGCATACAGGAAATGTATTTGTATCAGGTGCTGTTAAATTTTTCCAGGTAACATTAAAGGTTTGAGCAGCCAAGGCTTGAAGCCTTGTCCTTTTGTTGCCTGCTTTTATTCCATGTTGAATCCAATACTGCCATCCCAGAGGGATGCAAGGCGGTTCCCCAATGCAAATAGGCCTTTGATTACCATAATAAGTAAAATTGAATAGTGTCCCATCATCTTGATTGTGGGGGGTTAAATCAGCCCACGGTGCTGACAAAATTTCTCTAGGTGTGGTATAAAGTAAAATATCACTAGTTCCCCATTTTACAGGTTCTAATAAAGGGGGGTTTGGAATATATGCCCAGTACGAATGCGGAGGTACCTCAGTCCCCGATGCAACGGTGAGCAAGGCACATAAAGCTAAAAACAAGTTTTCGGGGTTTAAAGGCTTTCCTGCTTGAAGGACAAGCCGTTGCCCTTCTATGGTCAATTTCTTTAATTGTCCCCATGTAGGGAGGGGATTTAAATTTGGTCGCTGTGAGCGGCGGGATTTTCTTAGCTGTAATCTGGCCATGGCTGCGATAGGAACAAACTCAGCATCCTCAGCTTCTAGCTGGTTTCGCGCTCGCTTCTGAAGGCACGGTTCCGGTTCCTTGGGGAGTTGTCTCCGGGGCTGGTGAACAGGATCTGGAGACGCGGGTCCTGATCCATCGTCCAGGGACCCACTGCTGAATTCCATTTTCTGTGGAGATATAACCAAAACCTTTCCCCCTATAGAGCAATGTGCCCCTCTCCCATTCAGCCTCTGGAGCTGTTTTAGTCCAAATAGGTTCATTAATCACAAAAGACTGTTGTTGCTGTTCAAAATGTTTTTCAGCTCTTGTTAATATTTCACCTTGTGGTAAATTGAGAAAATTTAAAATAAACAATGCTTGATGCAGTAATGTTTTTGGACTGTTTTGCAATTTAAACAGTATTGGTATCTGAATATCCTCCTGACTCCTCCTTTTTAATTTTTTAATTTGCAACTTAAGAGTGTCATGTGCTCTTTTAACAATAGCTTGACCCTGGGGGTTATATTCAATCCCTGTAATATGAATAATATTATGGAGATCACAAAATTGTTTAAATGTTCTGCTAGTATAAGCAGGTCTATTATCTGTTTTGATTTTAGAAGGAATTCCCATAACTGCAAAAGTCTCCAATAAATGTACAATAACATTTTTAGTGGATTCTCCCTGTTGAGCAGTAGCCCATAGAAATGAAGAATAGGTATCAATAACTACATGTACATAAGAAAGCCGACCAAAAGAAGGTACATGTGTAATATCCATTTGCCATAATTCATTAGGTTGAGTTCCTCGAGGGTTGACACCTGCGGGAATAATTCTTAAATGTAATGGTCTACAAATAGGGCAGGCTTTTACAATCTGTTTAGCTTTTGTAAAAGGTATCTTATATTTAAGATGCAAATGTCCTGCATTTGCATGATTAAATTGATGTTTTTTAACGGGTGTGGTGAACATAACTAAGGAATCCACTGCATTGTTACCTGATACTAATGGTCCGGGTAACTGAGAATGAGAACGTAAATGAGTAATAAAATAAGAATGATTTTTTTTTTTGAACATGTGTTTGTAAATTTTGAAATAAAGACAATAAAGCAGGCTTATTAGAATATAACACAGCTGAATAGATATTTGTCACTACTCCAACAGAATAGGCCGAATCGGCTATAATATTAATAGGTTGGTTATGAAAATCTAAAAACACTTGTAATATAGCAAAAAGTTTATTTTGTTGTACAGAGTTAAAATTTGTCTGACGTACCCAGTAAGATTTTTGAGTCCAATATGCAGCTTTATTTTTAGATCCATCTGTAAATATAGTCAAAGCTTGTGGAATTGGCTGTACAGCTAATAAGGTATTAACCACAAATTGTTGACGTCTAAAAAAATCCCATAATTTACTTTTAGGAAAATGATATGAAAAAGTTCCCATGAAATCTGCTAAAGCAATTTGTAAGGTTTCAGTAATTGACAACAAATATTCCCATTGTTCCTTAGTTAAAGGGATAACTATATTGTTTATATCTTCTCCTATCAAAGTTATAGAACGAGCTCTACCATTCATAATTAAAGCTGCAACCATGTCAATATAAGGCATAACATTTTTAGATTGCTTAGTTTTAGTGAATACCCATTCTACTGGCATAGCATTTTGACCTAAAACTGCAGAGGGATATTGAAAAGTATTAATAATATATAAAGTTAGAGGCAATTTAGGATCAATCCTAATTAAAAATGCATCCTTAATTCGTTGTTCTACAAACTGTAATTCTTGCTCGGCTTTTGTTGTTAAAGAACGAGGGCTGGATGGATCTGAAGAGCCCTGTAGAGTAGCAAACAAATGCTGTAATGCATGGGTAGGAATACCTAGTGTGGGACGAAGCCAATTAATATCCCCTAATAATTTTTGAAAATCATTTAAAGTGGATAACTTATCTCTCCTAATAGACATTTTTTGTGGAATCACCTTTTGTCTAGTAAGAATATATCCCAAATAATGACTAACTTCTTCCTTTTGAATTTTATCCTGTGCTATTACAAGTCCAAACGGAGAAAAATATTGAGGTAAAGTTTTTAAAATATCTTTTAAAACATTTCTATCACTATATTAGCATTTTTGTCTTGCCTTTTTCGCACAACCTTCCATAAACCACATGTGCCACTGTAAATATTCTGGCTCCTTTAAAAGAATTTTGGCCAAGGCTTTCCAATCATAAGGAGCAAGATTACCATACTGATCTGCTACTGATGTTATTAATTCTCTAGTGTAATGAGCCTGAGGGCCATAAAGGGTTACAGCCTTTTTTAATTTTGCTAAATCATCCATATTAAATGCTTCCCATCTAGGGGGAACTGCCTCTCCATCTATTGGCTGAGGCCTGATTACAGGGAAAGCAAAGGCAGGCTTTTCCTCATCAGAATCCCCTAATTTTGGTAGATCAGCCAAAGCTAGCTTGGCTTTACTCCAATTAGGGTTAGATGGAGGAGGTGCAGAGGGAATTATAGGCGGGTTTTGCTTAACGGAGAGTTGTTTCACCTCTTGTGTTAAATGTTGTATAGCCTGTAAAATTGGGCGATTGTCATAATTTGATATTGCTGCGGCAGCTAAAGCTGAGTCGGCTGTAGTGGATTTTACTTTTAGTTTGGACGCCTTTTCACTACTTAAAGCGATAGCGTCATTTTGAACTACATTCTGCTCCTCCTCTGTGAGGGGCAATTCCTGAATAACTGGCTTAATTTCTAGTTGAAGATTTTCTACAATATGTTCATCTTCCATAGCTTTTAATAAAGAGTACACAACCGACCAAATAGCCCAAAAACGTAAAGGAATCTTTTCCTCCTGTTGCATAGCCCTTTCTATACTAACCCTTGCCTTCCTCCATACTTCTACATCCAAAGTTCCTTCATCTGGAAACCAAGGATTATATTCTTTAATTGTATCAATACACATATCCAAGTCAGCTGACCTGAGCGATATGCCATATATAGATAATAAATGTTTAAGAATTTTTAAGAAAGGAGAGGAAGCAGATTGTCCCATTTCCCCGTAATAAAATTATACTTACCTTCCTAAGCGACCTTCGGAGTCCCTGAATTCGGGCGCCACTTGTCGTGAGTGTCTAGAGCACTCTGAACTCCGGGCAAGGTAAACACGCACGCCTTGTCGGGACACGGGGGGTACAGCGCTTGGAAAAGAAAGACAGGAGAGACACCTTTGCTGTCTGCACCGCGTTACACTGCACTGCACTGCACTGTACGCACAATCTTTATTTTAGGATTCATATATAGTAAACCCGATCAATTCACAGAGCCCAGATAATTAAGTAGTGAAAAGGCATTCTTTGTGGCAAGCTACAACGTGACAGACTACAATGTTTATTCTAAAACTATCTAAGTGAAGTAAATAATCACAACCAGTTCTCATAACCTCTCTAGCCCAGGAAGAAATTCATTAGCTCAAGAATGTTGTTAATTTGTCTGCTGTTAGTGTCACAAAGGGTGGCCAGCCACTTCCTCAAGACTTCTGCAAAACAAAGCCAGCTCACAGTATGGATTCCAGAGGGTGAGGGCTCACTAAGAACAGGCATTCCTATTCTACCTCCTTCTCGCATACCAGGGCGGCTATTGTAAATTGCAGGTTAGAGGGGGTTGGGCCTACAAAGTGACACCTCATCCCCCACATTTTTGTTGTTTTTTTTTTTTTGTCTTTTTGAGACAGGGTCTCGCTCTGCAGTTCAGGCCGGCCTTGAGCTCACTTTGTAGCCCAGGCCAGTCTGGAACTCACAGTAAGTTTCTTCTGCCTCAGCCTCTGGAATGCTGGGATTATAGGCATGTGCTACTACACACGGCTGCTCTGCATTTTCTACCAAAGTGGTAGCCCAGAAGTGCTCAGAGCTCTGGGGCTCAGCAGGGCCATGGGGCTCCCCTTCTCCTGCCCTCAGGGTTCTGTGTGGGGCCACTGATCGATCTGGTGGGCATGAGGTTCTGATGGGCATGAGGTTCTCTTCCAGTGTTTGATTTCAGCAAACAAAGCTGCACCAGCCCAGCTTTTGTTTCTCCTGGTAAACCCTTGACCCAGCAGGTAATCCTGCTGTGCATCCCCTCTTCCCCCACCCTCATAGCTTTACCTTATGCACAGTGTGAAATCTACAAAGTGTATAAATTTATAAAGCCTGTAAAACATCCTAATTCAGGAGCCCTAGGAAATAGGTAAAGTGTAAGGTCCTTCCCTCTTTTGCCCAATTCGAGGTGGATCGTTGTCCCATGTGGGTGTCCCCCCTGCGGGACTGGTCTCACTTGATAAGCTAAATGCCCAGCCCGAAACTGCTCTGGGTTCTAAGGGGAGAGACAGGTAGGTCAGCTGAGAGTCCTGGGCTAAATGAGGTCTGATTAGGTCCTGGCTCAACACTTTTGGTGTGAATTCTTTCCAGTTTCTTGAGTTTCTCTGTCAACCTCTGCCTAACCAAGGGTGGTGGTAACAGGCTGTCAAATGTGGGCCACCACTGGAATTTACAACTTCCTCAGTCTAAGACTGGCCTTTTTTTTTTTTTTTTTTTAATGATAGAACCCAAGGGCACCTTACTACTGGGCTACACTCCCAGCCCTTCCTATCTTTGAGACAGGGTTCCAAAGTCAAAGCAAAACTGAAAAGCTGTCCAGAACTGGTAACTCAGTGGTGGACTATTTACCTAGCATGTGTGAAACCCTGGGTTCCATCCCAAGCATTGGGACAGAATGGAATGGAATAGAACAATTGAAAGCTCTCCTGAGCTAGGGGTGTTGGTGCATACCTGGGTGTGCACATCCAGCACCCTGGGAGACTGAGGCAGGAGTTTAGCAAGTTCAAGTTTATCTTGGGCAATAGTGAGACTCTGTCTCAAAACTTTAAAAAGGGGCTGGAGATACAAGTCAGTGCAAAGGCCCTAAGTTCAATGCCCAGCACATACACCAAAAAAAAAAAAAGAAAGAGCCAAGCTTGGTGGGGCACACCTGTAATCCTAGC